TGAAAGATATGAGAAAAATTGTAAAAAAAATTCGTATGAAAATTCACCTCAAAATTGGAAAGTCCCTAAAATCACATTTTTGGCATGAAATCTCATAAGAAATGACACTTAGATTGTGGACAATAATCTCCTTCCATTGTGATCGGGATTTGGATCATTGGAGTACAAGAAAATACAAATTTTAGAGATTTGAAAGCAAGGTGATTCAACTATACAAAAATCTTGAAATTCATCATTTCAAGTAAGTTTGTTGACCCGAAATTCATGTCAAAGCATGCTACGATTTTCCTACAGCACCATAACCTTATATCTACAAAACATCTACCTTCCAACATAGATGTTACCTTCTAGTTGCCGCATAAATTCAAACTTTCGATACTCAGTAAAAAATCATCCTGCTTTATCACTGAACCATGCCCGTGTGGGCACCGTGTGGTTTTTAGTGAGACGGTGATTGGTCCTATCAAAATAGAATCCAAATGACTAGTTGATATTTGGGGTTAATATGTATGCTTCATATAGCTGTAAGATCAAACTATTATTAAGCCAAGAAAATAGGTCCTACGTTTTCGCCTCATTTGATTTTGATTTCTTGCTATTCTCTCACTTTTATTTTTGATAATATATTTTTTGATTTTGATTTCTTGCTATTCTCTCACTTTTATTTTTGATAATATATTTTTCGAAAAGAATTATGTTTCATATTTTCTCATAATTTTTCCTACCTTTTAACAGCACATTTATAAAAAGTACATTTTTCAAACAATCAAAATCAAACAAGCGTTAAGCCTATATTTGGCTCATGTTCATAAATAGTTATTCATACATTTCGAGTAATCTACAAGTACTAGCCACTTATTATCGTTATTTTCTATTTATTTATAGTTAAACCTTGTATTTGATATTGTCTTCAATGCACACTTTTACATTTATTTTATTCGAGGCTCTTAACGTTTTCATTATTATTTTGACTTGCATCTTAAGTCAGAAGAAAACTGTAAATTTGTCTTTTAAATGTTGCATGAAATGGAATTAAACACTTGTGAAATATATAATATTGGGGGAAAGGGGAATTTGAATAATAATGTACGCTTCTTGGGGTGACGGATTGAAATGGTAAAAGAGATATATTTGAATTTTGATTGAAAATAAAACTATAATTATTTTTTCAATCAAAATTGACTTTTCTAGTAGGGTAAATTACACTATAAGTCCTCAAGCTTTCTAGTTGCTCCAATTCCGTTTCAATTAAATTTTAATAGTACTACGATCTACAATCTTTCATCAATATGTGCATATGGACCCTTCTATTGACTCTGCCAAATTTTCTGTTAATATCATGTAAAAAGGTAGTTAAACATTAAACATTTTCTCGTTTATGCAATAATTTGAAATGGAGGTTTAGCCTTTTTATTAAGGGGCGGATGTGGCGGGTGCAGGGTTGGGCTCCCAGCCCAAATTAAAGCCTAATTTAAAGAAATAAAAAAGGGAAAATGTATGTGTAAGTTTAGTCCAAATTCTACTTTAGCCCAATTAACTTAACTTACAGCCCTAGTTCAATGATAAATAGTTCAAATTTAGTTAAACATTTTACTTTGGCCCAGTTAATTTTCATCTCTAGTCCGATGATATATAGTCCAAATTTTGTTAAATGTAATTACACATTCATTTAAGGGAAAAATTCGTAATTCAGGTGTAATGTTTACACCAATTCACAAACCAAGTACATGGTTTAAAACTTCAAAACTCAGGTATATATTTAATTAATTAAAAATGCTTATTAAATAATGATAATAAAATCACAATTTTACGTTTAATGGTCACATATTATTTCAAGGTCACGAATATAAGTCACAATTTATGTCATTGATTACAGATCCAAAAAATTATAGGTCAGAGTTCATATATTTTCAAATTTGATAGTCACATATTACTTTCTTAACCACAGACAATCGAATTTTAAGGTTACAGTTTATGGTCACATGGACCAATTGGTCACGGACATCAAACACCCAATCCACCCTCACTCAGCACCACCCCCCGATCCACCACCAAGGTCACAAATCATCAACACACAACCGTCGCTTGCCACCCACCCTCACCATGTTACCGTCGCTGCCGCCACCAACAACAAAAAAATGACGACCACCACCACCATCACTTGCACCAAACCACCACAAACACCAACAAACATTCCAACCCCAGCCGTCCCACCTACAGCCATCGCCACCAACATTACCGCCAGGGGCGGAGCTACATGGAGTCCAGTGCAGGCCGATGCCCGCACTGGACTTTGGACGTGACACAGGAAACTCCAAGAAGAAGAGAAGAAGAAGAAAAAGAAGAAAAAGCAAAAGGGAAGGAAGAAGAAGAAAGTGTGTTTGCTGTCTGTAGGCAGTGGCGTCAACAGGGAAGAAGGGCAGGAGGAAGAAAGTTACAGCTAGCAGGAGGAAGAAATTAACTCGCCGACAGGGAAGAAGAAGGGAGGAGGAAGAAGAGTTTAGCTGGGCCACTTTTTTAATTTTTTAGATTTTGGGCCTTCCCAATAGTTAGGCTTTTTGGGAAAAATAAAAAAAAAACAATAGGCCCTATTACTAATTTACTAGCCCATCAATAAAGTAGCCAACTTACAGCAGATATGAATCAAGCAAAGAGAATACTGAGTCATCTTCGTCTCGGCAACTCGCTGTACTCAACTCAATTCTCCAGAAATCATTCATTCCACGCTAAGGTGATTCGCTCCTTCTCCTATTTCTCTCCCCCACTTTTCAGACAAAGCCAAGCTTCCTTTGCTACGAGCATTAATCTCAATGCGCACAATAAAAAACTTTTCTTTTCATCAAAACCTGATTCGGTTTTAGAGCTTTTGTTGTCCAGTGACTGGTCGAAGGAACTAGAAAAAGAGTTGACAAAATCAAATTTATCGCTGACCCATGAAACTGTTATGTATGTTTTGAAGAAATTGGACAAAGACCCAAAAAAAGCTTCAAGATTTTTCAAATGGGGTGTTGAGAAAAATGGGTTTGAACCCAGTTCTTCCATGTATAGCTTGATGCTAAGAATTTATGCTAATAAGGATTTTTTGACGGAATTTTGGGTCACAATTAAAGAAATGAAAGAGAAAGGGTATTATATTGATGAGGAAACGTATAAAACTATTTCTGGGATTTTTCGGAATTTAAAAATGGAAAATGAGGCCACTGCTTTGAGACATTTTTATGAAAGGATGATCAAAGAGAACGCTATGGATGATTTGGCAAAAGAGGTGGTTGAAGCAGTTAAAAGTGCAGAGTGGGGAGAAGAGGTGGGGAGGAAATTAGAGGATATGAAAATTGCTGTTTCAGATAATTTTGTTTTGAGGGTATTGAAAGAGCTTAGAGGAATTTAATGGACTCATTCTGATCATGGGAAGCCTTTTTTTTTTTCATAGACTAATTTTGACAAAAAAAAAAAAATCACCGTAGCCGATACTTAAAATTGTGCCCGCACTGGAGGAAACCTCTGGCTCCGCCCCTGATTACCGCCACCTCCATTGCTCCACCACCACGCCCTCCGACCGACAACGACCACCACACCACAAGATAGCCACCATGGAAACACCATTACCACCACCACACAAAAAACCATCCAAACCCACCACACAACCGTCAGATCCACCTCTACAAAACCGCCACCACACAAACACCATCACCACTACCACACATAACACCATCCAAAACCACCACAACGTTTCTTCTGCCTCACTTGTTCATACAGTAGCACCTCAACAGAGTTAGCGTCTGATTGAGGGGGTGGATCTGCTAGACTGCTTTGCCTCTTCATTATAGCACCTCCTCGGAGGTCACATCTTTGTTCCTGGGCAGAGGTCACCATCTTCGCCCCTTGCAGCAGCACCCATACTGTAGCTACGACGTCGTGAACGACGTCGGTGAGTAATCTCCATGGCGATTTCTTACAGAGAAGAGAGAGATTGTAGAGTGAAAAAGGAAGAGACGGGATTCAATTGGGAAAATTATTAGGATTTTTAATTGATTGGGTGGATTACCAATATATACACTTGATTTTTGCACAAATAACTTTAACCCTGAGCTTTGAATTTGAAAGTTTAAGTAACTAGATTTATGTAATTTTCCCTTCATTTAAATTACATTTGTGCAAATACGAAAAATTTGTTATCAAGTTAGGTATTTTATTTCATTTATATTTGACAGAGTTTAAAAGGTTCATTCCAATTAAATAAAATAAAATTTCCAATAAATCATTTTTTATTAAAGTTAAAAATATAGTTACAACCGCCGTACAGCGAGGCTTCGGTCGTCGGCTCCCTTGTCATCAGGTCACCAACTTTCTTGACCAGGCATAAAAGTAATTAAAATTTTTCTAGGTATATTTTCACATGTTACTTAATTCATACTTATAAGTAAAAAATTTTACTTATTGTGAGCATCTTTTATAACGTGAATTCATTAAAATTTTTATAAATTGTGCCCACCCCTACTTCTTTTCCTAGCTCTGCCCCTACCTTTTAACAATTTTTCTTGATTGGGTCTGCCATTTTGTCGAAATGGTTGTAGAGTTTAACTGAATCATTTTATTTTGATTCATGTAGCTTTGCTCTTTTATGTAATGAGAACTGATTTATATGCACACCAAAGTCTTAATTAACATCCATTAACTTGCCTCTTCATGTATAGAATTGACTTAATGTGTTAACGTGTAACCGAAAGAAAGCATGTGATTGAAAAAATTCTTGGCAGTTGACAACGATCCCTTGTGGCCATGTGATTTCTTGAGTAGTATTTAGCGGCTCGACTATTATGGACTATGTTGATGACATCTATAAAAAAGAGGCATACCTTAGGACTTATACACCACTCATTTTCCCCATTACAAGTCTAGAGTCGTGGTCTAATCCAGGTCTCGACCCTCTGATCCCACCTGTCTACACCAAAAAAGTTAGGGAGGTCAAAGTAGGCAAAAGGAGGCTATTATTAGTTAGTTATCGTTACTCATTTTAAGCATATTGTGTTGTGTTGTGTGTGAACACGTGTGTTGCTTGTGAATCGGTTGACAAATCATGTGAAGAAGCAGGCAATTAAGCTAACCGAAGCTAGGGACATGTTTTTCTAAATCAATTTTGACATGGACGTTTGTGTCCGTTAAGCCTCTTATCTTAATTTTCTTTTCATATCTACACAGTCAAGGCGTCAGTGTTCTTCTCCTATGGAAAAAGATAGTCTATATAATACTATCGTTGGAGATGGTCCTGATTTAGGCGAGAAGAAATGTAAATACCCTTATGAGATGTGTTCATGCGTCCAATTAACAGAGAGAATTGATGAATTTGCACGAGTAAAAGTTGATACGAGGGTGTAAAAGCCAAATTTAAAACAATGAGGATGATTTGCACAAGGGTAGCAAAAGATAAGAACATTTTGTGGTAATTTCCCTTAATAAGACAATATTGATGACCCGGGACTTAAATGTTATGAAAAATAAGCTTAGAACTCAATCACTCCATACGCGAAAGATTGAGGACTTCAAATCATCCAAACTGTATATGGTAATTATATTCACGTCACAATTTTTAGAAAGATACTACATGTACATGATAAAATGCCTTGCCAGAATTTCAAGTATCAATATTTCATTAGACTTCACACAAACAATAGATTTAAAAATAGTAAACCAAAATCCGCCATATTGGCACCTGGCAATTTCGCAATTTCCCTTGTACAAATAGATTTATACCAAATTTTATTTCTTGCACTACATTTTAATTGTTCTTAAGGTTCTTAATCTTTGCTCTTTATAGCACTTATACGCATAACGATTTCTAATGGAGTAATTAGCAGAAAACGTCCTTACCTTTCAATACTATTGTGCAAAACGTTCATACCTTACATTTTTTGGTATTTTCACTCATATTTTCATATTTTATTGGAAAAAATGTCATTTTCATCCAATTTTTCAATAAAAAAAAGTAAAATGATAAACATACCCTCATATTTAAATAAAATTAAAAAAAGAAAAAAAAATTAAAGAACAAATTGCAATTATACTTACAAACTTTAAAAAAAAATTACAAATGAGTCCTAATAAATTACTAAAACAATTACTAACACAAAACAACCATATTTTTTAACATTATTGTGCAAAACTTTCATATCTTTCACTTTTTGATATTTTTATCTTTATTTTTATATTTCATCTCGAAAATCATCATTTTCATACATTTTTCAATTAAAAGTTGTAAATGACAAATATACCCTCCTATTTAAATAAAACAAAAAAGAAAAGAAAACATTTTTAATTATTTATTTAAAATTTATTTGTAATTTTTTGAAAAATTTAGGAGTATAATTACAATTTATTTTTTATTTTTGTTTTATTTAACTATGGGGGTATATTCATCATTTTACTGATTTTAATTGAAAAAATTGATAAAAATGATGATATTCGCAAAAAAATAAAAAATCAAAAGGTATGGTCGTTTTGCACAATAATATTGAAAAGGTAGAGACGTTTTGTGTTAATTACCCTTTTAATAATTTATTTGGACTCATTTATAATTTTTTTAAAAGTTTGGAAGTATAATGGCAATTTATTTTTAAAATTTTCTTTTCTTTTTTGTTTTATTTAAATAGAACAGTATATTTGTTAATTTAAATTTTTTATTCAGAAATTCGATAAAAATGATTTTTCGACAGTGAAATGTGAAAATAGGGGGTGAAAATACCAAAAAAAAAGGTGAGACATTTTGCACAATTACATTAAAAGGTAATGATGTTTTGTGCTAATTATCATTTTTCATGTCATTCTTATCCTCGAACTTTTTATTAATTAACATATTTTGTATTGATAATAAATTTATGTACAAAAGTCCATTGAAATAATATTAAATAATTTATTTTCTTATCGTATTTTTAGAAAATAAAAAAGGAAATGTGCGAAAAATATATTTTTATCTCATTTCAAATCATGAAAGCAAAATATTTTGATATAAATTATCATCAATAATGAAAATTACTAATTAATGAAAAAATTGAAGATGCAATTAAAAATTTAGGTATCAATATGACGCTTATTTGACAATCACTATTAGGAAATTTTTTTTTACATACTTATTTTTAGTCATATATTTACAAAATAAAATATTTTGTACGCAAATAGATATATATTTTTTTAACTTTTTAACTTTATTTTTTTTTTAAAAATCACTATTAGAATTTTGTTTTTTTTTTTTTTTTTTATCAAAATAATGGTTATCAAAACCACTCAACAATAACTCTCGGCTGACAGCAATATAAAAACAACATAAATTAGGCTGAAAAGCAACTCTCTATTCCCCCATTCCACAGTAGCAGTGCTGCAGTGAGCGAGGTCAGCAAAATACATATGCATAGCATAAATTCATTCATTCATTATCACACGTCTCTGAAAATCCAGTTTGTTGATCAGATCCTTTTAGCAACTCACTTTCCTTTCACAGATCCCTCGCCTCACCTGTCCTTTGCCAGAACTTCAAGTTTTTCGGTCAACATGACGTCATTTCCCGGCCACTCACCCGTCACCTAAACAAAATATCACTCTTTACCATTAAAGGTCAGACTCTTCCCTTTTCTTTTTGGCGTACGCCTCTGATTATGTAATTTTGAACAAAAGGGTGTTGTTGAATCAGCTTTTTCTTTAATTTTTATGATCAAATGCATGAGTACGTGTCTCGTTAATTTGTGGGTTTTATTGTGCTAAACTTTAAATGTCTTTAAGTAAAGATTCAATCTTTGGCGATGGATTTGGATTTGAAGTGATATTTGAAATAGAAGATCTCGGGTTCTGTGATCCTGAATGAGTTGGCATGTAATGGAATAATCAACGGTGTCGATCGAGCGAGAATTTTGAATAGAGGTTCTTTAAATAATGTTGACTGGATAAACGTAGTTAATACTGTGTCGGTTCAATAATCCCAGGCAATTAATTTTTGGTAGTTGGTTATTGCAGATGTAAGCTATGCTTAATTAAAGAGCTGGATTGATATTGGTTTATGTCTTGTTTGGTAGTATCTAAACTAGATATCTACTGGTGGTTGTGATGTCGTCAAGTATTTTTCTTCCTTTTTCGCCTTACTCATTAGGCTTTTCTGTGGCGTTAGATCATTAGATTTCTGCAGCATTTCCCTTTGAAATATTGCTTCTAAAAATCTTGGGTGTAATGGCTTGATGCTTGGAAGTATCAAGAAATGAGGATAAACTTGTGTGAGGGTCAAGTGAGAATTTGGGTGTGCATAACCCTACCCAAGAGTTTTATTCAAACGTGTATGGTTCTCTTAATTCTCTCTTCGCTTCTTGCAAGTGTTTCCGTTCTTGTCTTAGTAACTTTGTTGAGTTTGTCAATTGAGAATCGTTTACTTAGCTATACTGCAAGGGGCGGGATCGCTGAGCTTTGGCTGGCAACAAGCAGATGAATTTGTATGGCTTGTTTACGTTGCCATTGTCCTGTAGGTTCTTTCTTTTAATTTCCAAAATGTTTTTTCTTTCCATGGTGGGAACATGCTATGTGGCTTCTGGTTTGGTAAATCAATCATGCGTCGTTTGGTGTGAAATTTGACTTTTCTTTTCATTCACTGTTCTTCAGAATGCTAGTAAACGATAATTTTACACATTTCACGTGTGATTCGTTTCGAGCTCTGTTTTTGTTATTTGGGAATGATAGTTGTTTTTAGGTGACTGTTATGGTAGTTTTACCTAGCCGGGATGTATAAGAATCAACTGCAAGAATTGGCTCAGCGAAGCTGTTTCAACTTTCCATCCTATTCCTGTGTAAGAGAGGGACCTGACCACGCTCCTCGTTTTAAGGCAAAGGTTAATTTCAATGGTGAAATCTTTGAGAGTCCGAGCTTTTGCTCTAATTTGAGACAAGCAGAACATGCAGCAGCCGAGGTTGCACTTAGATTGCTTTCACAAAGAGGCCCATCAAGGGCACTGACTGCAAGAGTTTTGGTATTTTCTGAACTTGTGATGATTAATATTTTCATTCTCTTGGCATATTATTGTCTCAGGTTTCATAGTATTCGATCATGTCACCGAATTTTAGATGTTCATTCACTCTATTGCAACCTGCAGAGACGTTGCCAAATATGAATTTGCAGTGCTTCTTGTAATCTTGCTGATATTATCTATTGTGTTTACATTATGGATTAACAGACTACTTCTGAAATTCACCAATAACTTAAGTTGATGTTCCATTTTGGTAATTGAAATTTATTCACCAATTCAATTCTTCGAGCATCAATTACAAGTATATTTTTGACAGTTACTAGTACTATATATATAATTTAAGGAGGGTTGGATTGCGAAAAGAAGGTAAAATCTTGTTCGTATTACTACTTACCAAACATGCAACGTATATCTTCCAAATGCGTATGGATTGCATTTGGAACGTTTTTTGCCATATTTTCACAAAGCAGACCATTGCAATCAGCACATCTATAAGTATATGCAAATTTCTTCATCTTCTTCCCCCCACAGGACCCAAACAATGGCATAGAGAAAAGGGGGGGAATGCTTGGATTCTGCAGGATAAGCCAGCCAAAGTGACGAGTACTCAATATCTTTTGACTACAGTGTTGAGTCACATAATTTAAAATTCATTTTTAGCATTGCTGAAAAATTACATTAACACCACACTTCATATTTTCTTTATTGGATAATGTATCAGTTCTTTCATCATCTTTTTGCAATCTTCTGTAATGCAGGATGAAACTGGAATTTACAAAAATTTACTTCAGGAGACCGCTCACCGGGCCGGGTTAAAACTTCCTGTTTATACTGCCATCCGTGCTGGACCAGCGTACGCTCCCGTATTTACTTGCACAGTCGACCTCAATGGAATGACTTTTGCTGGAGAGCCGGCCAAAACCAAAAAGCAAGCTCAGAAATGTGCTGCAATGGCTGCCTGGTTTGCCTTGAAAAAATGTATGTGTATTATCAAGTGCTCCCAGTTTCATTCTATATGGAGAAAAGTGGGGACAAATACCAAATACGGCATAGTTCACTGTGAATTTTTGTCAAAAAGGGCAATCTATAATAAAAAAGTCAATTTGCTTTATATGACTTTGACCTTCATCTCCACCCATATGAATCCAGATCACTCCCTCAAAAGTAGGAAGAAATATTAGACGGAATCTGTCATGGAGTACTCCACCACGACCTGTCGAAGCACGGTCGTCAATCAACCTCCAGCCCCTGGCCCCAACATTATGTGATCTATACTTGTTTTCCCTGCCCAATCCTGCTGGCTTAGTAGTCCATTGTCTACTCCTCCTTAACTAGCTTCTAAGTGTCATTTTTTACCAACTTATTTGTGCCAGAACTACCCTCAGCCAATCTTCACTGGACAGATCCGTCCTTGTTTAGTCGAACTATGTGAAACCAAAGCTAACTTTCTTGATTGATGTGATAAGATGCTTTTGTTCTTCAGGTGCTTGTTCTTTCGATAGCCTTTCTACAACTATAAGATAGGGGAGACAGGTCTGCTGCGTGTCAAAGTGGATTCAGTGCCCATGCAACTTACTGAGACCATTAGCATTTATATTTTGACACGTGGATTTTATTGAGAGTTCCTAGTGTCGTATGTGACTTAGCTTTTTTTTTGTTTCTCCCCGTATTATTTCTTCAGAGACTCATTTAATGGAAAATTCATATACTCAATATTATTCTCTCATGCAGTGGCGCAGCAAGAATCTTGCTCTTCTGTCTCAGGCGTCAGAGTAAAGGACGAGCAAGAACAAGTAACTGTTGCTCGTTATCTCGCTCGTTTAAAATTACCTGAGACGAGAAAATCAGCTCAGAAAGAGAGGTGCCAGGTAAAGCAAGAATATTCTCCAATTAGGAGGGACGTGACTCAATATAACACCGGCTCATCGTTCTATGAAATGCAGCAGCATACATTCATGTATCGAAATTTCTTGCCTGAAGTGGCCATTTATCCTAGTTGTAATCAACAAGTTTTTCAGCAGCAGAGACTCCAATTTTTTCCATTTACACCTTCTGTATTCAGGCCAGAAACCAGTTTGTATTCCTTTGTGGGGGCACGAGAACTTGCATCGCTTAGCCCAGTTTTCTATGTTTCAAATGATATAGTGCCTCGTCCAATTGGGATTAATTCACAAGTTACTATAGAAGAGATAAAAGAAAATTCCCAGGGTGAAGAAGGTGAAGAAATACAGGTTATCAACGAGGCCAACTCGTGGAGGGCGAGTTCTCCATCTAATATATCCTTAGTGCCAACTGAAGCTCCCGACTATTGCGAATCCTTCAACAATAATCCCAGCTTCAGAAGGGAAGAGTTTCCACGTGAGAAAGGTGAAGTCGAGAAGGGAAGATCCTTCCATGACATTAGAAACTCCGATCAGCCAGAAGCCAGCCTAAATGAAGAATATAAGCAAATATCAGCAGAATTTACTCATAAAAGGTCAAGAGAGATGCTCCCATTTGAAATTGGGCAACATTTATCATCTAGTGGTCGGCTCCCGTCCAATGCAATGGCTAGTTCTTTGAGCCCAACTAGAGTTCCCTTAGCACGTCCACCCCATGCCACGTTGAGGGGAACTGCTGATGAGGTGTTCTCGACCAGATTCATTCCAGGAGGATCAGCCATTTCCTCTCGAGCCTCAACACCAAGGAATGCAGCTTATCCGTCTCGACGTCTACCATTGTTCAATGGCATGAAAAATGTCAGGAATACTTCACATGCTGGTTCCATGGTACCAGCGGTTCAGATTCGATCAGTCTTGCCCGTCTGTTCTGCTCCTCCAGCTAGACCAAATCTGACTCCGGGCCAGGTGGAGAAAGCGGAAAAGGTTGATAGAGAGGTTTCAGCATCAAGTTCAGAATTTTGTAGGCTCAAAATATGATGTTTTATGACCTTGAAACTTTGGTCAATATAATTGTACCTGAAAAAATAATAGGAAATAAAATGATATATATATCAGTTACCTTGATTTCTTTCATCCCTTTTTTTTACCTGCATGGTTGTTTACCAACTTCATATGTAACATGAACCATGCGCGCGCGCGCGTCTATATATATTCTTTGCCTATAGTAATATTAACAAATTCTTGGTCCAAACTTTACCTTTATCGAAAATTTACTCAATTAATTTTATGCACTCGTAAAAATCTACATAAAACGCATTAAATTCTTTGCCACAAACAATGGTGGTCTTGCGGTATTATGGCACGTCAACGAGGGTTTATATGTGTTCTCAACTTTTCATTTTTTGGGGGGAAAATAAAAGAAATGGTTGCCATTAATAAAATTCAAAAATTCAAGGCCGTTGCCAACGCAATTAACTTTTCTAAACCCTGTTTAATGGTTGTTATTGAGAGAAAATGATGTTTTGAATAAAATTTTTTTGGATAATGTGACTAAAAAGTAAAGAAAATATTTAATTTTACGTGCAAAATATTTTATTATATGAATGTATGGTTAAAATAAGCCTATGTTTGCTCTCCATTTTTTCAAAACTCATTTCCAACCACACATTCTCCCATAAAATAATTTTATACGTAAGACGAAAAGTTTTCTTTACCTTTTAATCATACATTCTTCAAAATGTCATCATCTCAAATTATATTTTTCCCCAAAAATGGTGCTCAAATAGAGATTGAATATGAAATTGGAAATTACAGAAACCCCTAGTGTTAAAATCAAATGGGAAGTTACGAGTTTCAAAAATCAGATATGTCATGTTTAATTATTAATTATACAAATTTCATTTCAAAATCCTAATCAATTTATTTTCCTCTCCATCTTCCTCTCTCTCTTCACAGCCTCTTTATCGGCATCGCACCCATCCCCTATTTAGGCATCGGAACTGCCACTCATTCAGCGGCGACAGGCACGACACTGCTCTTTCTCTCCCGTCTTCTCTCTTTCTCAATCTCTATTCTTCTCTTCTTCTCCTTGGTTCTGGAACCACCCTTATCAACGACAGCAGGGCACAATGGAGCAGCGATACTCGCTGTGGATGGCACAGCGAAGTGGTGCTGCTCGCCCGATTTGCTTTGCTGCCTCGATTTTTTGGTAGTTTTTTTGTTTTTGATTCGATTTATTGAGCGGTGGCTGACAGTAATGGCGGTGGTTGTCCAAATTGGAGCGGGAAGAGAGAATGGGTGTTTGTACTTGTTGGTGGCGACGACAATGGTGATGGTGTTTGTGTGGTGGTGCCTGGCAATGACGGATCTAGTGGTCGAGGTCGGTGTACAGTGTCGGGCGTTCATAGCGCAATGTACATTGGTTTTTTGGTTTGAGATTCTCTGTTGGTGGAGACTAATGGAGTGGCAACAGATTTTGGGTGGTGATGGCGATGGTAGACGGTGGTGGTCATGGTAGTGGATGCAGTGATGAAGGTGAGACCGTGAGATGTTGGTGGCCGTGGTCTGTTGAGGTGGATATGTTGATTTGTTTTAGACAATGGCGTTGTCGTGTGTCGGTGGTGGTGTTGGAGGCAGTGGTTGTCGCAAGTGTTAGTGGTGGTCACAGATTATTTAGTTGATAGTGATCATTAAAATGGTTAATCTGTGATCAATAAACAATATGTGATCAATAAAAAAGATAAATTGTGACCTACTAATACGTTGTGACTTATAATATTTGTAATCTGTGACTCATAAATAAATTGTGATTTATAAATATTTGATCTGTGAATGATGAACAAATTGTGATATATAAAATTTTTGAATTATGACCTTAAAATGATTTGTGACATTAAAATTTTTTGATTTGTGACTGAAAAATAATACGTGGCTAATTAAATTGTAAATATGTGACCAAGTTATATAGATCTGTAACCTTAATATATTTAATTAATTAAATATATAATTATTTAATTAAATTATAAATAAATTTTAATAAATATTTGATTTTTGAAATTTGAAACTTCTAATCTTACTTTTGAAATGAACATCTTACTTATAAAATTTTCCCAATATAAAATTTAAAAAGTTTTGTTTTAAAGGAAGACAAACAGGACTAAATTCAGGTCAACTCAAGAATTATTTCAATGTAATGTCTTAGACCCTTTTTGACACCCATTATTTGAAAAATTAAAAAGTTTTAAATAATATTTTTTGATAATGTATGGTTAAAAATTACAACAAAACTACACGTACAAAAAAATCCTTTGCAAAAGCGGTACAGAGAACGCACATGTAAGGGCTCGTGGGGTTACTTTTTTTTAGTATATTAATTCATATGGGGTCCACCCCCAGATGAGTGTCTGTAAGGATTCTGTAGATGGTTTTTTTTCTTGAACAATCATATTTTTCCTAAAAAGTAAGAAAACATTATTGATTTGTGTGTAAGATATTTTATTGTATAAATGTGTGACGGAGAATGATACTGTAATAAACAATTGAAGATGACGTTTGATCGGGACTAAAATTAGATTTTTAAGTAGATTGTGATAAGAATTTTTGAAATATACGATTGAAAAATTGTGGGATCCATGAAAAACGTGGTTAAAAGAGTGTTTGGTGAGGATTAAAATTAAATTCATAGTAAATTTTGATAGATGTTTTTGAAATGTGTGATTAAAAAATTGTGGAATTCATAAAAGATGTGATTAATATTAATTATTTGATTTTGATTCTGATTCTGATTAAAATTTGAGCCAAACAGGGGCTAATATTATTTGTTTGACTTTGATTTTGATTAAAATTCAATTTTAATCAAAACCAAACCTGCACTCAATTTATAAAGTTAGTCAAACAGGGGCTTAGAATCTTGAGAAAAGCCAAATTGCCACGGAAAAATTTCACAGGGTTGCTACAGGTTACTCATAAACAGGTGGGTTCCATGATTTTTTGGTTTTTTTTTTAATAAAGTGAGGCCCACCTGTTTGTGAGAGCCTGTACTGTCGCGAAAATCCCTCTCATAAATCTTGATTTCGGGCTCAAAAAACAATCAAACGAACACCGATTTACCTTGGCTCGACCCAAAACTTTCGCCTTCACTTTGAACAGCCCTCTTTGCCTCTCCAGTGGCTCTCTATTTATTGTCCACAAAGGACACGCGGTGGTGACTACAATGGAAGAAAGAATGGACAACAATGGTGGAAAATCTCTTTCCCTTTTTCCCCAAGACCGACTGCCCCCTTTCATTCAACATTGCACGTTCAATCACCCACCCAGAAAAATACTGGAATAGATGGATATATATAAGTATAGTTTAGGTCACTCCAATTGGGTCTAGGGTTCACTGAGAGGGCTGCCAATTAACCTAAACTAATGGGCCAATTTTTAATTCCATATTAATCACTAAATGGTCCAACTAACCACATAATCATCCAACCCAAACCCGAGCCATCCAAAAGTGTAGTTCGTCTCCGAGCTGAGCCAAATCCATGGTGTCAATAAATAATCTGACAACTGTTTTAAATCATCGCCCGAATTATTAGGTATCAAAAAACCCAACAATCTCCACCTTGATGCCCAATAATCTGCAACCAACCAAAACACACAACTTATACATGCACAATCAAGGTAATCCAATAAAATTGAAATAACAGACCTTACCTCTGTTTCGAACCGAAACATATACCATACTTGCTCCATGTACTCACCAGGGCTAAGATCAAGAATACTCAAGTAGAAACAAGTATTCACAGTGAACAAACAATCATGCGATGAAGATATGTAGGATAACACACACAGAGATCTTTTCAAAATCACATTCACACAGAACCACAAATTAACACCTAGGTAATCAACACACGGTCATGCACGTATGCAACAAATGCGTAAATGACCCAATGAAAGATCTCACCACACTTATCCTATCCCATTCCGTGTTACTCACACTTCGAGAACACATATCTCCTCTCATCGCCCATCATGCTCACTAAACAGATCTCTCAACTCATGTCTAACCGGTAAGTCACAATAGATCCTAAGCTCTCAAGATAATCCTCTATCACCACATCACTTCTCCCAACTTACGTGGATAATAGGACTCCACCTTACAGAAGTGATAGAAGTGCCTCTCTCACACTCCACCTGATCAGGGTCTCTTTCATAGATAAATAATTTTATACATTTGATCACATCTTCACTCATGATCCAAATGTCACACTCCACATCCCCGTGCAGATCATCAATGCACATCTAGTTATTTATACTCCACCTTACCAAAAGATATCCAACTCAATGCTAATGCATCACAAACTCACTGCGGCAAAACAACACCTTTCGGTGACCACAAAGGTTCCCCAATCACCAAAGCTCCAAAAATTCAAAAAGAAAACGGCGAAGGTGGCACTCACAAAGAAAAATCGAAGAAAGAGTCCGTTACTTCACAACACTCACAAAAGGAGGCTCACAAAGATAAAGAAGGTAACCCTAACATAGCTGTCTCACATAATCTCACAAACCACACAAGCTCACAAAGATAAATGAGAGAAACGGCTGCCCAACTTTCTTCTCACTACCACACTCTCACACCACTCACAGAGGAAACAGAGTACTCCACAAAACTCAACCCATTATGCATGTAAATATATTACATAAAGTAATAAGATCACTCTCAATTCATGCAATTATACACTTCAAACAAGTTGAAAGTGTAACATCAATATTGCAACAAAATTAAGTGACCACATACATGCAGAAAGGATTACACACAGATGCAATGCAGTAACCAGGTTTATTCTCTCAATAAACCTCACTGGGATCACCCTAAAGTCACATTCGCCTCGTCTCTATTCTCATCTTTCCTTTTATTATCATTTTAGAACAATCTCTTTCAATTATGTCTACCACAGTTAAAACATATTTTATTTTTCGCACTTGCATTAGAGACCTATACATGCCAACAATGCCAAATAATGACCAAAAGCAAAGTATTGGCATATAATTCACACAGAATAGTCAAATAAATTTTCCTAAGGTCACATGCAATTCTATCGATATAGAAAAAATTGATGACAAATTCACAAAAAATTTAAGACAATAATTAACATATAATTTCTAGGTCTAAGCAACAGACAATGATTACCCCTTCACGGTAACCCTAAACCTAACGTCACCCCCACACGATGACTTCTAATGCAAAAAATAAATAATTAACATACACATTAATTTTAACTGTAATAATAAAAAACAAAGAATACGATATCGAGCGGACCATGTCTGAAAGTCCGTAAATATCGAGATACACGAATTCACTACTTTAGAATCATCACTGTTCATCTTAAAGTTACCAGCAATCACAGCAATACGAAAACAGCACTCGACACCCGAACGACCAAGGGCAAAATCGTCCAACTTTCACTGCATTGCTCAAAACTGAAATCCGACAACACCACATGGTCCGTCTCATCTCCAACAACGTTCTGTCTGTTGAAAACTTCCCCAGATTACTCCTCACGCGCCCGCACTCACTTCGCCGGAATACCCACGTGCCAACGATGCCCCGACCTTTTGGAACCATCTCCACCTGCACAGTCCAATAGTGGTGTCCGTTTCTCAAAATGGCAATTGGTTTGTCCGAAAAACACCAAAACAGATCTGTCCAATTTTGCAAAAATCTGCCCAAATTTCATCCAGTTTTCTGCCTATTTTTCAGATCGATTTCTGGCCACTTCCAGCTCGATTTTAGCCCCAAAAATCACGGATTTATCAACAATACAAACTCTGATACCATTTGTCGTGGAAATCCCTCTCATAAATTTTGATTCCAGGTTCAGAAAACAATCAAACGAACACCGATTTAGCCTTCACTTTGGACAGCCCTCTTTGCCTCTCCGGTGGCTCTCTATTTATTGTCCACAAAGGACACGCGGTGGTTACTACAATGGGAGAAAGAATGAACAACAATGGTGGAAAATCTCTCCCCTTTTTTCTCCAAGACTGGCTGCCCCCTTTCACTCACCATTGCATGTTCAATCACCCACCCAGAAATCTGCTGGAATAGATGGATATATATAGATATAGTTTAGGTCACTCCAATTGTGCATATGGTTCACTAAGAGGGCTACCAATTAACCTAAACTAATGGGCCAATTTTCAACTCCATATTAATCACTAAATGGTCCAACTAACCAAATAATCATCCAAACCCGAGCCATCCAAAAGTGTAGTTAGTCTCCAAGCTGAACCAAGTCCATGGTGTCGATAAATAATCTGATAACTGGTTTAAATCATCGCCCAGATTATTGGATATCAAAAAATCCAACATGTACAAACCCTGTGAAATTTTTCCCTAGTAATGTAACATCTCTCTAGAATCTTTTGAGTAAGCCCCCGTTTGGCTCTCATTTTTGTCAAATTTTAATGGTTGGAATATTTTTTTGAATAATGTATTGTTGAAAAAGAATTAAAAATTTTTAATTTTAGCGTAATATTATTTTATGAAAAATTGTATGATTAAAAATAAAAAAAGGGGAAAAGAATGAAAATGAAAATGGGGCAAACGGGGGCTAAATAATTTCTTTCTATTTTTATTTTATTTTTCAAGCGACTTTTGGTTCTCAGTATCTCAGCTACACGTGCTTGTGACGTGTCATAGCAGAAAACGCCAGAAACACACACAAACATGACCTCTTCTGCCTTCCATTTCCAAGAAAATTTTCTTCCTCTGTAGTCTAAAGAAAACCCCAGAAAAATGAGCCCATCTCAGAGTATACAGAATTCACTCCCACATGATATTTCCCTCAAAATAGCTTCATCCCTTCAGGTTTTTTATTTTTTACTGCTCTACTCTAATTAGTAATTATAAACCTTTTCTTTTTTATTTTTGGGCCCCTTTTATTTATAATTTGGGTTTTATAAAATCTTTTTTGAATGTGGGTTCTGAAAAAAATTTGACCTTTTTCAGGTTTTTGATGTGTGTTCACTGGGGAGTTGCTCCAGGTTTTGGAGGGAGCTGTGCGGGTCGGATTGTGTGTGGGAAGCTCTATGCAAAGACAGGTGGCCTGCACGTGGTTTTGATAAAGATTATTTTGCTTTTGAAGATCAAAATTTCGTGTTTGATAAACGAACGGATTCCAATTTAAAGGTCCTTTATTTATTTCTATAAATTGGGGTTTTGTATAATGTTTGAGCATTTTTACTTTCTTATACCTAGTTTGATTCCCTTTCTCAAAATGCATTTTCCTCTGTCTTTCTTTCAATCATACATTCTTCGATAAAATAATATTACACGCAAATAAAAAACTTTTGATTCGCAAATTTTCAATCAATTTACTATTCTAAAATTCATTTTCCCTTAAAAATGGGTGTCAAACGCCTAATTTTGAACTTTTATTCTTTGGGTGAATAAATTATTTTTATATTTTAATTGAGCATTTATGTTACGTTTAGGTTTAGGTTTAGTTTTAGTTTTAGACGTATGACGAAAAAAATAGCAATAAATAAGATTATTAGACCCCCTTTTGTAATTTATTTTCTTGGGTTTGAAGTAATTATCTGGAATCCTTGAATTTAGCTATATTTACTTGCCTTAAATTGAGCAATTGATATGGGGATATAAATTATACATCAAATGGCGTTGTATTGATAGTGGAATACACGCCATATCAAAACTTACATTTGATGATAGCTTGAATTTATTTCGTGTATTATAATTATAAATTGTGGATTTTTTGTGATGGCCGTAGGGATGGAGGGAGTTGTATATAAACAAGCACAATGAAATGGCTGAAAAGGCTTCTTTAGTAATGAATTTTGTGGAACGTGCTCTAGCTTATGAGTCAATTGAAGTTGGGAATTATTTGAAAGCTATTGAATTCATGAAGTCAATGCAGTTTGGATTCGAAGATGTCCAAATGTTCTTTCTCAAACCAAAGCTCAATGTGCTGTTCAATTTGGTTGGCTTGCACTACTGCATCATATGGCTTGATGTACCGGTAAATGCTAATATAACTCAAAATGGCTCGGCTGTTTTAAACTTTTGATGATATTGTGCATAATAAGGAACTCAAATCTCTGCCGTATAAGTTGCCATAATTGATCATATGCTATTATTGCATATTTGATACTTTACAGTTTTGGCTGGACAGTATTAAGTAATAAAAAAATGTTAAATTTTTTATTAATTGTGCATATCAAATATGATTTTAAATACCTGTGTTGTTTGACCTGCATTCGTGCATGATTCCATAATTTAACTCGAAAAAGAAGTTAAAATTTTTTTGGTCATTTACTGTACACTCTTATCCAGCATTGTGTATCAAATATGACCTTAGATATCTGTGTTGTTTGACTGCATTCGGTGCATGATTACTTAATATGACAGAAGCTAGATTCAATAGAAAAGTTCATCATTTGCTTGTTTTGGGATTTTGTCTATTGGCATCAATAAACCTTCCATCTTCAAGACGATAGAATTCTAGACAGTGCAACTTGAATAGAATCACGCAGTTTTTAGTTTCTCTTCAAGGCAAATACAATATTTAGATTTTCTACTTGAAGGGGAATTGATTCTCCTATATACAAGATTTCCCAATAATGTCCATGAACTGTTGCTCTTGGATTGGCAAAATAGGCTTAGCAAACCATGTTACTACAGAATCAACTTGATAAAAAGGATCCATGAAGTTCCTATACTATGATGCACCAATACGGACATAAACACGTGTGTCCGACAAGATACGTGCTGGATATTGATACGCAATTTTAAAAAAAAAATACCGACAAACGTTGATTTAATTTTTTAAAATTCTTTATTTATGTAGTATAAATTTAATTTTGTACTTGTTATTAATTGAAATATTTTAAATATGAGTATCTTTTTGTTATTTATTATTAACTTTGAGTTAAAAATATATTTAATAAAAAAGAAAAATATTTATGATAGAGTGTCCAAGAGATGTCGATATCGACATATCGGACATGGACAAATTGTTTTAATCGAAGTGTCCGTGCTACAGAGCCCCTATGAGTGATAGAACCAAATCCTGATATTATGACTCCCGTATAGGCGGGCAGGTGGGGAAAAGACGTCAATTGCTCGGGTTTGGTTGACCATTTCATTAATATTTTTGCTGACTCTGTTAAAGGTTCCTCGAGAAATCTTGTGATTTTACGCCCAATAGTTACCACTTTGCACATGTGGCCTTGTGGATTTGATTCTTATCCACTGTTATTGAAACTTTTTATTTTTTTTCTGGTTAAACAAATATTGTTCTTGGTTAGGTACTGAGCTTTGACAATCTATAATATAAAGAATTGATTCATGCATTCAGGGATTAGAAGTTGCTTCTAGTATCACCATTCATTCACACTTAATCCTGCATTTTGACGCTATTCGATAGTAAATGATGGGTTATTTGGAGCTTATTTGTTGCTGTATATCAGACTGGACTAAACAATATAGAAAATGATAGAAGTTTTTGTTTCTTTTTAATACTATCTAATGCGATCAATCCTCCCTACCAAATAGGCCATTGATGTTTTAACTTTATTGTTGTAGTCCAAATATGTCATGGAAGCACTACATAGCAACGAGATTACGGAGAGGCAAGTATGTGTCCAATGGTGGAAGCTCGGCAGATGGTTCCATGGCTTTCGCTTACGTGATGAATTGCATTCTCGTAGTGTCTCTTTGGGAGACTTAGCATCATCCAATGAAGAAGTCCTAGGGGTGCTTCATCGAGGCGCCATTCATGAAGTCTTGCGTGTTCAGATATCTGCTGTGAAGCCTACGTCCACATCATGGTCGCATCAAGTTGCACAAAGTGAATGAATGAAGCTTCAATAAGTTGTGCAATTATGTATATGTCTCTGTTTAGATTATTCTCTGATTTATGCTTTTAAAAGATAAGTGATGATAAATGTATTGACAATTTTATCCCACTTTGAAAAAGGGATTGAATGGTCAGGAAGAACCCTCCTAGCTGTCCAATAGGCACTTGTAAATATCAGGTAAAAGAATGAGAAACTTTTGTAAATATTAATTTCCTCAAACATTCGAAAACTTTTTATACCTTCGTTGGCAGTGTGGGGGATCACTCATTGTTTACCGATTTCAGGATTGTTACACAAGTCATCTTTGCGTATTATGTAAATTGTCGAATATCATTGTCATTTGGGTGATTATGTGAATTGTGTTGTACCTATTGATTAATGATTATATTATTGTAAATTTTCCTTATTCGATAAACAGAAAAAGTGCTCGCTTTCGTAGTGCATCCTCCTAGAAATGTCCATAAGATACATTTGTCCTGTGCAATGGATGATGCCGTAAGTCATTTTCATTAGATTCATGCCTACACATTTGTTCTTTCGTGCTCATTTTCAATTTACTTCAGTTGTACTTAGATGTCATTACACTTCAATTTACTTGCAGTTGTACTAAGATGTCATTACACTGCAGGCTTGACCGATATCCATCCAGTCTATTGTACTAGAAAGAAGAAACTACTCATTGTACCAGAAAGCAGAAACTACTTGAATCTGTTGAAACATTGGATATTGAAGTGATTTTCTACGAGGACTATAAGGTTAAAATTTCAGCGTACCATAATCTTCAAAACTCTGTAAGACTAATGCCTCGTTTTTCTTGGAAGCTAATTTGCTTAATCGTGCTGCATTGGATTTGTATGAGAGTCATATATATATCTCATGCTGCTGCTAATACTGCATTCTCATATGCTGATGTTGCTTTATTGATCATAACAGTGTTGACACTGATTTCAGGCAGAGGATGTTATGGGTAACTTTTAGTAGCTGTAAGTTATTGTCAAATTAAGTAACTTATTTTTTAAATCAAAGAAAGAACATTTCGATTAAACTTATTTACTTCTAAGTAAACTATTTTGAGCTTAACGAAACAGCATTATCGATCTTTTTGCTTTTCTTGGAAACACGAAACACTTTTCGTTCACACTTTCATGATTATTGTTAATTGGTATATTAGTGTTTTTTTTTTAGTACTACACGATTTGATTTGAATAATTTTCTAAACTAGGATTTTGTAGGACAACAACAACAATCTATTCTCTAAAATTTGCATATTGTATCAAAATTCCTATTCATTCTTCAACGGGGAATTTCAGTGATATTAAGAGTTACAATCATATCAAAACATTATTTGGATGACATTATATTTTTACTCAAAAGCTCTCAAAAATTGATGGCAAAATGTGGATAGAATTGCTCTGCATTTGTGAGGACCTGGAGAAAAGCAGCATCTGTGTTAGAAGAAGAAAAACCAACGGGAAAGAAGAATAAATTAAAATTTTATCTATTATTTCTTGTGATCGAACTCATACTGAGATGATCTATACCATTTATCTGAAGAACTTTCGAGGTAGGTAGGCAAAATTGAATTAACTATTGACTGCATAACCTTTAAGTCTATTTTCAACTTTTGTCTTGTTTAAATATTGCCTCTGTGCTGTATCAAGGTTGTATGATGTTACGTCCCTTAAATATTAAAATAACAAACACAGAGGCGAACAAAATGATTTAATTGCTAATTTGCTACATAAGTGAAAGGTTGGAGACCTTACATGTTCTACAACAACGTTAAATAATCTTAAAAAAATAATAATAATAAAAAATAAAGACCCAAGAAATGAGGAAAACATGGAACAAAATGCCAATCGATCATCTCAAAAATAGAAACTTTGATAGAAATAATGATATTTTTCATCAGAAATAAAGTTAATCAAATACACCCTTAAATTCATCAATTCAAGTGAAATTCTCCATGGGCCATCAGCAATTGCTACAAGTCGTTGAAGTGCTACCATGAAGATAGAGGATTCAAAATAAATGGAAAGAGCTATACCAGTCAACAACAACGATAGACATAAGCAACGCGTCGTCCTCTGGGAGGTGAACTGCAAACATACATCAGCATCACCACAAGAAAAATCAATACGAGAAGTCCGTTAATGCTAAGTCCACCATCGTCGGATTCACAGCAATACTTCCCCATAGAATTACCAAATGTTTCTTCTGTACTTGGGTTTCTTGTGAAACTTGCACTTAAATGTAATGAAATGAACTTGAGACAATTCAAAAGGCAATTAGAGAAATTTATACTATATTCCAATGACTTGGAAAGGTTCCATAGTATTTGTTTATGGTCTTGGTCTTCTATATGGTGTTTTGTGGTAGTTATACACACGGTCTAGTTATTGAAAATTAAAACACGGCACAATAATTTCTTAGTGCACTAAAGAATAAAATCAAACGTCACGTCGAGGAAAGTCGTTAATCAATAATTGTCTCATAGAAACGTGATTATATATACAACTCGAGCATTCTAAATTCACGTAGACTTGAAGACTTAAATCATATCGCCAAATTCTCTCGTAGTTGGGGTTTTTTATATGACTCTACTTTCTTATTTCAATTAGACTTCATCGAGCGCCATCCTAGGGATGGAAGATGACGTTCGTGAAGACTTCCTTAAAGTCTCTAGCCTTAAAATTGTTGATGTGACAATAATCTTAATCTTAAGAAAAGTTACTATGAAATAAAATTCTATCCTTAAAAAATCAAACAACGTTGTATACCATAGTGAAGAACACATCAAATCGGAGATTGGGAAAATTTCTCCGGCATACTTTTTATTTAAAATAATTCGTTTCGTTTACCATCACGGTAACACACGGTTTGGCCTTCCATTTTGGTCGACTTTTTAACATTTACAAGGATAAAAAATGAGAGAAAGAAATGTGTGTGTGGATCAAAGAGTGTAACAACAAATCACCTTCAATACTGAATTTCTTCTATAGAGATGAAGCCAAGTTTGACAAATCCTAACTAAAAGGGGGAATAAAACCAATTTTTTCAAAGTTTGTGAACCACATGGTCAGTGG